GTAAGGATTTACACCCTCGGAAACCCTGTACAGGGTCGCTATGGGTCGGAACCGACTCGACGGCACTTAACAACAACAACAACAAGCTTCATTGGTTTTTACTTCTTTTAAATAGCCTAAGATAGTCATATTTTTAATTGGTGATTTATCACTTGAAATATCAGGAGAACAATAATGTAATCACTTATGTAGAACTTAAAAGAAGTGATTTCATATTTATTCAAAATGTATTTATTGAGCTACTGCTATGTGCTTTATTTTTTATGAAGCATTATAAAGCATAATTGTTGTTGTTGTTCAGGTGCTTTTGAGTAAGTTCTGACTCATAGTGAACTGTATAGGGTTTCCGAGGAGCAGCTGGTGAGGTTGAACTGCTGACCTTGCAGTTCAAACTGACCTTGCAGTTCAGCACATTAATTCACAGCACCACACCAGGACTTCATTAAGCAGAATGAAGTGTATTAAATAAGTTCCATGTATTAATGGACCTTGAAGTCCTGATGTGGAAGGTCAGAAGTTCAAACTTACCAGCCACTCCTTGGAAACCCTATACAGGGTCACTATAGGTCAGAACCAACTCAACAGCACACAACAACAAAAAATTCATGGAATTTATTCTTTTACTAGGATCTCTCTGCTCTGGAAAATAAGCTATGTGAGAGCAGGGACCTTTTGAAATTTGTTTTCAGATAGGCAATTATAGTCATCTGTTTCCAAAGTAAAAATGATATAATTATTAGTTAATTAAAAAGTTAAATAGTCTTCCAGCAAGATGGCAGACAAGGCAGACCCACTACATGGGCCCTCTACAACAAAGAAATGAGGAACAAAATGTAACAGTCACAGAAGAAAATTTTGGCACCCTGACTTCAGAAGAAAGATTAAAGAGGTGTATGGAGTGCTTTCTGGGAGGAGAGGCCAAGTAGGGACAGTGAGAGAGGGAGACTAAATGGTGAACAGCTGGCCAGATGCAGTTCCACCATCTTGTGAATAGCTTTGGCAGTGGAGGGAGGCCCGACAGAGCAGATTCACATGGCTGACGGAAAAGGTGTGATTCCTTCTTTTTCCCTATGCTTCCCTGGTGACCAGAAGGGTGGCCAGCTCTGACCCTCATTCACCCCCCCAGCACAGACCCTGCTCTCCAGGAGTTTGAAGCCACATGGTTGGGAGCCACAGGAGTGTGTGT